TCTAACAGCACTGTTTAAAAGGCCTCACTTTAAAAGCTAAGCAAGTGCTCCTCGCTGGAGGCTGAGGCTGTAGTGGTAGAACTGCTGCGTGTTATTTAGAAGGTGTCTGTTCCATGGACAGTGCTTTTCAGGGTAGGTGTCCTCAAGCTATCCTTAACTTTCTTACGGCAGCATATCCTTAACTTTCTTCTACTTTATGCGTCTCTCCACATTTCAGTCAGAGTGACTATACATTTATGATTAAACTCCAGAAATTTAGAGCAGAAATGTTGATTGGGATTACTTGATGGTGCAATTTTAAATTCTCGGTGTCAGTTGGTGGCTTGGACCTATGGCTCAGTGATAGAGTGTTTGCTTACGATACATAAGGCCCCAGCATCATAAAACAGAAAGGGGAGAGGAGATTCTGAAAGAAAGGGCCTCGTTTTATTTGATCCTGGGCCCTGGCAAAGATAGTCCTGTCTCTGCCTTCCCCACTATTGATGCAGTCTCAGGATCTACCATATACATTATATCACCAATCAGCAGCTTCTCTAGGGTTGGAACAGACAGTTCTTGCTTCTCTCTGCCTTTTCTCCTATTCTCCATCTATTCATTTATCAAATGCTACTCGTACATACAAGAGAGCCCACACCACTGAAGACAGAGATAGGGTTTCCAGACAGTCTTGCTTTAGCTCAGAAAATGCCCATCCTCCACTTTGGTTCACGTAGAACCAGTTTCTCTCTAGTTATGGACCAGAGTTTGGTGATTAAGTATGTCAGGAGAGGGAATGTAAAAAGACATCAGAGGGCTGGAGAGATGGTTCAGCTGTGAAAAGGCTAGGCTCAGAACCAAAAATGTAAGATGCCAGAGCTATCCCAGTTTATAGCCCACCATAGCCTGGCTTTTTTTAATAGCCCAGCCAAGGGCCTGGCAACAGCTCTTGCCTAATTTACAGCATAAAACCAGAAAGCTCCAAGCCTGAGAGTGAAGATAGTCAGGCTTTTTAATTATTAATACCAATAGAGCAGTTTGATAAGTGTATACACACACACTCTCTTGAAGATTGAGGGAAATGCAGAAATTGACACCCCTGAAAGCCAGTTGAGGACTGCAGCCAACTCACAGGGACAAAGAGCTCCTACCTCATCCCACAATAAGCCTCAGGCTGAGTCATAAGCAGCAGTCATCTGCTGGGTGAGAAGAGGTGAGAGGTGAGAACCGACAGAGGCTCCTTCTGCGGTTCAGACATGCATAGAATGCTCCAGCTGAGGGAAATTGAGAAGAGACTCTCCAGACCCAGACAGCACATGAGGCGTGAGCAGCAGCTCAACACCGGAGGAATTTAAAGACCAGCGCACAGCAGTACCAAAGACAAATCCAACTCAATTACTAATTTAACCCAAACCCAGGCTAATGGCCTGACAAAAGAAGCATGCCCATTTCTGGATATACATAATGTGGCTTCGGCCTCTGTTGTCTTCCTTCACACAGTTTTCTACATTCACTAAAAAATCATGAGACAAAGCAGAGCAAGAGAAAAACATTTGTCAAACAATAAGCCAATAATTGATAGAGTCACTAGACAATTCTGTAAGGACATGGATAATCTCAATTATATTTTCAGTTTCATTTAGTTGACATCTGCAGAACATTCACCTTATAAACAGTATATACTGCTTCAAATACACACGGACCATTCACAATGTTCCATTAGGTACACCATGTTCTGGGCCTGTTAGAAACACATGCATACATGTGCGTACACAAATTTTGCCATCTGACACCACAGAACTAAATTAGTTATAACAGACATATGTCTGGAAAACTCCCAACTATTTGAAATTTTAACATTATTTTTAATAACTTACAAATAAATGTATGGAGTTGAGATGGCTCAGATGGTATAAAGGGTGTTTCTCACAAGCTTGAGGATGAGTTCTATCCCCAGGACCTATATAAGGCTGGCACAATGGCTCACTCCTGTAATGTCTGCTGGCGAGGCAGAGACGGGTGGTTCCCAGGGTTTGATAGCCAGTCAACCATGTTGACTAGGGAAGCTCCAGGTCCGTGAGATGGCCTGTCTCACATATACAGAGTAGAAGTGAAGGAAGACACCGATGTCTTCCCTGGCCTCTACATGTATGTACATCACACATACATATATACACATGTACATCTATGTACAAAAAAGGCAAATTCCCAATTTCAAGAATAAAAGGGAGACACTGGCCCATATCTTGCATTATATTGTAAAGCAAACAAGGAAACATGAATAACTTCAAACCAATAAATTAGGTAGCTTAGATGAAATAAAAAGATTTCTTGGAAGGTATTTTCAAAGTTCTTTTTCTCAAAAAAGAAAGGAACTGCTGTGGTGGTCTTCACCACACAGATTGATTGGTAACTGTTAAAAAGATTGATTTGGTAACTGAAAACACCCTCATTAAAATCTACAGGAAGCTATTGCTTCTGGTGTTGAGTTCTACTAAATGTCTATGCATAAAATAATATCAGTTCTGCACACAAACTGTTTCAGAAAATAGAGAGCACTTCTCAAGATTATTATGCAAGTAGAATACAGCCAAATCAAATGAAACAATAAATCATGGTCAGGTAAGTATCACCTAGACTTGCAAGATTGGTTTGGCAGTTTGGAATCATTGTATTAAACCATAGCAATCAGCACAAAGCTTATAAACATCTGATATAGGTGGAAAGGGCTGTTAACAGAATTCAGCCTCATGGTACACGCTTTTAATCCCAGCACTTAGGCTACAGGGCAGGTGGGTCACTGAGTCAAGATCACCCTGGTCTATATAGTGAGACAGCCAGGGCTACACAGTGAGACCTTGACTCAAAAAGCAAACAGAAAAATAGGAGTGAGCAGTGGGAGCTTCCTCCACCTAGGAAATCAGCCACTAAAGCCATCAGTAGTGTTGAAAGGCCACATGCTTTCGCCATTTCCTCCTTCCCCTCTACCTTAGCAGTGTGTCTCTGCCACCGCACTTACACCAGAGTTGGCTGTTTACATGTTTATAAGAAGTTCTCAGAGCAGGAAGATCAACTGTGTCTTTGACAGGACTGGTGCAGCATTTGCCCAATAAGACAGTCCGGGATGAGTCCCATAGCACCCTGTGCCTTTTCTCGGAAGGCTGTCTGCTATTGCATGGTGTGCCATACCACAAAATGTATGAGTAAGGGAAACTGCAGCTATACAAAATTTCCCTGCCCTCTACCCGAGGAACCAGGGCAGCACAGTGCCATCTGGCGAGCCCTCGTGTGTGCCTCTCTGTCACAACCCTCCGTAGTCAGCACCCGCAGTAACTATGGTGATCGCCACTCTTGCAGTTTTTGTGTGGTTCCAGCTGGCCTAGAATTATCATGACCCTTCCTCTGCTTTCTAGGTATCTGCCACCGTGCCCAGCTTTATTGCAGATTTTATATGAATATGTCCTTTATAGTTTCACTATATACTTGTATGTCTAAGCAATAATGTATAATTTTGTCTATTTTACATCTTTCTTTAAATAGAATGTATTATTCTGATTTTGCTTTATTTTTATTCTTAAACATTGTAACATTATATGTTTGAGATAAACCCATGTTGTGTGAAGTTGGAGTTTCTTAGCTTTCACTTTTGTGTGGGATTTCACTTCCAGATAAACAGTGTTCTGTTTCTGCATGTTACTTACTGCCCAGGAACATTTGAGCCATCTGTATTTGATGCCCGTTAGGCATGGTGCTGATACGACGTTCCTCAGATAGCTGCTGGAGGCCACATGCAGAAATCTCTATAGGCCCCTCCTTCATTGGAGGGGGGTGTTTAGGAATAGCCTGTAATGACGTGTTGTTGTCCAGAGTGACGGCCGCAAAGTGCATGCACGGGAGGGCAGGGTGTTTTCCCCGCATCAGGCCTCCTCTGCTCGGCAGTGTCGATTGTCTCTGCTTTCATTTTTGTTTCTCTTAGTGGCTACTCACCTTTTGTGTATTTGTTGCTATTTAATGTTTCATTTTGTGTAAAATGCCTGTTTTTACCTTAACTTAGTCATCTCAGCCCGTCTAATTGTTAGAGTTTTGTTTCCTCGCTTATAATACTGGCTTTGCCATAAATCCGATTTCTGAATCTGTGCAGAAGAATAGACAGTCTTCTGCTCTAACCCTTTGGTCTGTTTGTCTGTCCAGTAACAATGCCATCTTCATCACAGGGCTGGGTGTCTGTGGGTCTCCCCTCCTGTGCATTAGACTTAGTGACACCAGTAGTGCCTTTTCCCTCCTCTTAAAATTTTAGAGGCTGGGGAGGGGGCGCAGTGGGTAAAATGCTTGCTGCATGAGCACGAGGAAAAGAGTCCAGAGCCCCATCACACACACACACAAAAGCCAGGCTGCAAATCTCTAACCTCAGTTCTGCAGGAGGGAGATGGAATTCTAGAAACTTGCTACCAGCCAGCTCCAGCTTCATTAAGAGACCCTGTGGGAGCAGTGGAGGAGGACACTAGACACTGACCTCTGACTGCCACACGCTCAACGCTCACACATAGGAGGGCAGACCTGCACACACATGTGAACATACAAACCCACACACAAGAGTTCACATAGTGATGGTCTCATTACTCCACCAGGTTTTTTTCCTACTTAAATTCAATTATATACCTATATTCCCTTATTAAAGAAAAAAAACAAAATGTGTTCTTTGATGGAGTACATTTAGCCTTCTGACATGGGTTACCCGCCTATCATATTTGGAAGTACAGATCAATATAAAACTGCTGCATCTTTCGTTGTTTGCTGTCATTCCGTCCTTGCAAATAAGGACAAATAAGGACAGTTTTACAGATAAAATGTGTGTTTCTATGCAAGGAAGATTCTGGCTTCAAGGTCTGGACATCCTGCAGCCACCATAAGAGTGCACACTGTTTAGGATCCCTCGCTGTCCGCCCTTGTCGTTCCTGCCACGTAGGACTGGCTTCCCTGTCTCACTATAAACTTGTTTTCGTGTTTGTCAATGTCCCTTGCAGCTGCTGCCTGTGAGTTTTTGGACATTGTGGATCTGCTTCTCTTGTCTGGCGCTGACCCCTCTCTCCGAGACCAAGACGGCTCTCTGCCAGAAGAGGTGACGGGATGCAAAGCAGTTTCTCTGGTGCTGCAACGGCACAGGGCTAGCAAGTCTTGATCCAAAGGCTGGAAAAACACAGTCTGGCAAATAAGACTTCAGGGATGAAAGAAACTGCAAAAATAATACTTCTTTACCACCCATCTTTGGTATGCATTGGCTAATAAAATCAGTTCTGAGGAACTGGGATTTTGACGTCTCAGCAATTCATTCTCCATGCATACATTCTGGGGGTACGGTTCTGGTGATGAACATGTGTACTGTGCATAATATAATCCAATTCTGCCGAGCATGCTCTGAAATTTATCACTGCTCTCGAAGGTGGGGAGAGGAGCAGACAGATCATATTTCACAATATTAAACATGGTGCTCTCTCTCTTGCTCTCTCTTACTCTCTTTCTCTCCTCTCAGTACAGAAGCAAAATATGCCAATCAGCACTACACAGACAATTAGGGAAGTTTGGTGAAATCTCACAAGGTAGAAAGCAAATGACCTTGTAGCATTTTCACAGCTAATCTGAGTAGGTAATTAAAATGGCTATTCTGTAAAGGCAGGAGTTGAAAATACAAGGAAGAAGAGAGTGTTAAAGCAAGAAAAGAAGAGAACAGAATTTTGTCGCCTGGGGCTATGGAAGTCAGATCAACAGTCGGTACAGAAAGCTGAAAACTTTTAGCATTTCAGGTTGTACTCGGCAACATCACTTGAGATTGGGGCACAGGCTGTCCAGGCTCATGGATTTGATCGGGATTTTGAAATCACAAAGTGGGAAAAGAAGCTCCCTCAGGACTCTTACTTAGCTATAATGTCCTTTGCAGCAGTAATCTACAAAAGCCAACTCAGACAGGGCCTGCTACCTGCTAGGCTGTTTGCTTGCCACTGAGGTGTCACTGTTGGAGTTATTTCCAGGTGCTAGAAGAGCATCTGTTTTGTATTCAAAGCATAATAAGCAGGCAAGTACACCATTAAAGATAAGCTGGTGTGCTATTACTAAGCCTGTGTTTTTTCCCTTTTAAACCTCAAGAACTAAACCTAGGGAATCCCTTGACATTCTTATTATACTTAAAAAAATAAATAGAGAAATGAAAGAAGAAATCAGTTGCAGTGCAGGCAGAGCCCTTAGGAGATAATTTTCTGACGGCGTGATTGTTAGAATAGGAAGTCCCCTGTTGAGCGGAGCCCCGGCAGTACGGCAGTACGTATAGCTTTTGTTAGCTCAGCTAGCCTACGACCGTCTCAGGATTTTTATAGCCTGCCTTTGTACAGTCTGGGATGCAGAACCAAACCATTCACCAAGACTAACCACTTTTTAAAAAGAATTTCTTAATTCCCTGTGGAAATGAGACGCATATTGGTGCACACTGAAATGTCACTGTAAGTCTCTGCTCTTTGTTCTTTCACCACAGTCCCTGCTCTGCTGCAGCCTGCCTTTAACCTAAGTCTTTGTGGTCCACATTCATCGAGTGTATTTTAAAAGTACTATTCCTTGGTTACGGTAAAAGTGATCGAGGTTTTAGTTGACGTTATTTTGTTCATCTTTAGAGAATTAGCAAAGTCGAGTTATTCACTTGTTGATGCATTTTAGAGCAGTTGTCTGAGCAGGACACCCTCAGGGGCTTCTCCCGCCATCTTGCTTCCTTTACGGTTGAGCTCTGAACTTCGTAGACACCTCTTTCTTGCTTGTTTTGCCACATGGACAGCTACATGGTCGTTCTGAGCAAAAGATACGACTTTTTATTCTAGGTTAAAGATGTTAATTACTCTATATCCAAGACTGTGAGTAAAAACAGTTATCAGTGTGTCTGAGTGTGGTAGGCCCTTAAGCCCAGCACTGGAGAGGCAGAGGAGGGGATTCCAAGTTCAAAGCAAGCCTGAGTTGCAAGACCTTGTCTCAATTAAAAAAGGATGGGGGACTATCATATCAATTTCATATTTTCAAGTCCAGTGAAATATAAAATTAATTTCCAAAACTCCTATTCTTTTGTTCCCAATATCTGAAATTTCAAAAACCTTACTGTCACATAGTAATCTATGGATCATTTTCCCAGGTCTTCCACAGAAGATTTCATCCATAAATGTCAGAGAACACTGAGTCATGGCTTTTTTCGTTCCCTTTAAATTATTGAATTATTATGCTAGCACATCACATACCAGTCAGATCCTGAGTTCATTACCAAAGGCTGCAGTTCATCAACAAAGAAAGTGCCCTGAAGCAGACAGCCGGTTGTCTTCCTGATACACGGTAACTGTGTTTTCATACAGTCCCGCAAGCTCCCTAAAACCAGCAGATGCCATAGCCTCATGTAAGTCATGTGAAAGGCAACTGCTTATTAGAAAATATCGTAGAAAGCCTGCTCTCCAGAGAGCCATTTCTGCTTCTACCTCAACAAGCGCTTTGAGATGGTCAGCTTTTTGTTTCTGTTTACTGGTCAGAATCATTTCATCTCATTCTTGCTTTCAGTTCTCTCGTTTGATATCTTCAACGCTGTTTGCATTTTAAAAACGGTTACAAGAAACTGGCTGGCAGGAGGACCGGACACACTTGTTACATCACCTTAGGTTTCTAGGCTATGCATACTCCCTTTCTATTCTGACTACATTCTCCATTCTGTATTTCTTCTATTGCCGTCCTGAATGCCACCTTCGTAGATGTATACCTATGCGTGAGCATGCCAGCCTTATTTCCTTGTGTTGTGTGTTACTTTTTTTTTTTTTTTTTTTTTTTTGCTTCGTTGAAGATACGGTGATCAGAACACCACTTCTGACTTTCTGTATTTAATATTTATTCATGGTTGTCATTTACTTTGGCCTCTGTCGACTGATCTAAGAGGCCCTGATTGCCTCCACATCAGTCTCCATGCAGTCACAGTAGTTTTGGTGCACACCGGTGAAAAATGAGAAATAAAAAGAAAATTGTGTCAACAGATGTCAAAGAGAAGGAAAAGTGTCTGACTCACTGCAGCTTCAGAACGCTGGCTGAGGTTGTGTGTGTGAATAGGACCAGAGACAGAGCCTGGTGCTAGCCAAGCAAGCACTCTGCACCTAACCTACCCCCCAGGCCTTGCCTGAGCCGGTCATCTAGCATGTATCTCTTAAATGTGAGGGACTTTCAGGTCACTTTGAAAAGCTGGAACCTCCTGCCTTGGGACAGTGCTGTACTTGGAGGGGAATTTTGAGGGCTTTATGCTCTTCTGAAGCCCATCCATTGAAGCCATTGGTTTCTGGTTCCTGTCACAGAAGGAGAACCTTCGGTTGGCTGCCCAGCAGTCACAGTTTTAAGTGTCTCTCCCAGATGATACCCATCGTGTGGCTGTGAACTGGGCAGGAGGGGATTTGAAGGAGGAGGTGCTGTGGGTGCTCAGACCCAAAGTATTTGCTAATGCTTGTCACCGAGCTGACTGTTAAACCCCAAATCAGTGTTTGCTTGTTTGATTTTGTTTGCTTGTTTGATTTTTTTTTTTAATCACTGACCAAGAATCTAGCCATACTGCTTACGAGTGCCCACATCCACGCTGACTGCCACACTAGGTATCTTTGGAGATGCACTGGCTAAGGAGCTGAGCTCTGAATTAACGTCTTTACTCTTCAGAGTGATCTCACAGGTATGACTTATCGTGTCGCCACTGCCCAGTCTTCTAAAGTAGGGGTAGTGTTAGTAGGACAAGGCGAGGACAAGTGAACGACACATAGGTTAATTCACCCACAGTCCCAGAGTTGGTGACAGAGCCACAGGTAAAGACTGGTCTACTAAACCCCAGGTGCTCCTTAGACCCTAAAGCAGCGGAAGCAGCATGAAGTTTTTCCAGTATTACGTTCATCCCACAGGTACCTCTCAGCCCTGCTGACAGCCTAGCCCAGTGGTAGCACACGCCTTTGATCCCAGCACACAGGGAGGCAGAGGTAGGCGAATTGCTGTGAGTTCGAGGCCAGCCTGGACTACAAAGCCAGTCCAGCACAGCTAAGGTGGCTACACAGAGAAACCCTGTCTTGAAAAGAAAAAAACAACAACAACAAAAAGAATTAATATGTCTCTGATTCTGCCTAAGATATTTAGACAAGTCTCCCAGAAAATCATGAATTACATCTGAAACTGACTAGATCGTTAATAATCTCCCTATTATTGAAGAGCAAGTAGTCAGCCATCTGGTGACACACTGCTCTCCCCTCTGCTTGTCAGGTAGAAGGAGAACAGCAGGAGCATCATCTTTGGAATTTTGTCTCTTCTATCTGGTTTTAACGCTTCAGCAGTTTCCAGTTAAAAGGTTCCTATAATCCAGTGACCCCTCCTATTAAATAAGTATTTCATAGCTTCCTGCCAGGTTTAACTACTTGGCTATAGGTTATTATTCTATGTACACTACATCGTCTCCAAGATTAATGAACAATATATGTGACTGTGACAGAGCTAGCTGCTGTAAAAGGGTTTTGTCTTAAGAAAATATATTTAACAATTTAACATGAAGACTTTTAAATGTTTATTTTTTTAAGTTGAAACACAAAGGATATTATCAGACTTTGAGCCCCTAAAAATATTTTATAAATGTTTATCACCAACTAAAAGTATACCTACCAGATTCGATTTCATAATGAAAAAAATGTTAAGTTTAAATATTTATTAATAAACTTTAAATCCTGGTTCCTTAGGTGATTTTGGCCAAATGTTTTCGTAGTGATTAAAATGCTAGATGTAGTCTAAGAGGCAAATGTTTCACCTTAACATTTCCAGAGTTGGGTGTCTCACAGGCAGTAGTGGGTGTGGCTCCTGTCAGGGTTTGAGGCTGAAATCTGCCCCCAGAGACTCGTGTGTTAAATGTCTGGTCCCGGCTGGCAAAGCTGCTCTAGGAGGCTGAAACATTTTGGACTTGGGGCTTCCCTGGCAGACATAGGGCGGTTGGGGGAGGCATGGGGGTCATAGGCTGCCTAGCCTCCTCCACCTCTGCCGTGTGGAGCCGCCACCAACACGATCGCTGCCACCAAGATGGACAAAGTGACTCATAGGACTCAGTTGTCTATTTAAGTGCTGCCTAAAGTAACCTCTTACTGTCAGTGATAGCATCGTCAATGTACTAAGCAGAGTTATCTTTTTCCCCAAGGTTTATTCTTGGGAACTTAATTTAACCTAAGAACAACTGTAAAGATGAAAAATAATTGCCATTTTCTCCTAGTCTACAAAGTAAGGAAATTGAAACTT